TCCTTACCGATTTTACGTACTGCAAACCATAAACTTTTTATTTTTCATTATTGTATGACGGAATATATGGGCCATGACCAGGCATGTGAGTACAATAAGTTTATATGCGTACACTATCCAGGGTGAAAATTTCACATTCAAATTATACTACGTAAGGACAATTAAATTCTAAACCCGATTAAAGCGGACCTGATACTATTCAATTTGTTAGATTATTCTAGGTGGAACACAGACATCTAAAGAGGGTTTAAGTGGTTTTCAAATGTAACTTAATTCTGGAGTAATGTATAAGTTCGTATTTAACTGGGGGGGCAGTCTTTTGTACATTATGTTGTTTTCATAACCAATTACATCATTACTTCACCCCTTCAAAGTAGACAATCAAGTTATAAACCTGGGGCAAGAGGACGCACAGAATTACAACGCCATAAGGGGTTTCCACAAATGGACGCCGCCGGCTCGACTGCCGACGCGACAACCCAAAGAGGGGCCTCCGCCTGCGCGAGTCTCCTGCACTAAAGTACCTGCTCCTCGAAACCACGCCCGTAGCTCCGCGCGTGAGCTAGGAGGTCCTTGAAATGTTTGTAGAGACTCTTCCTGACGTTCTTGTGTTTCTCTGCCTTGTCACACGTTTCCGACGACTTTATTCCTCCTTTTGAAGACGAAGTGTAGGAAGTGTGTTCCTCAAGGTTTTACTTCTCATGTCTAAGTCTTATGAAGGGACCTTTCTTTCCACTTTTTTCTCTTTAGATGATAGCACATAGCGTCTCCACTCGTAACCCTATGTGTTGGGAGCCGTTTTGACTGTAATTGCTCTACATGAAGTTTACGTGGAAAAATAAAAGCAAATTTTTCCAATATTTATTTATATGAGGCTCCTTGGTGTAGAGGAGTGAAACGTTCGACCTTAGTTGGGTACTCTGAAAAATGTAACATCTTCGTTCAGACCAATGAGTTGTTCATGATTGTATTTGTTATATTTATGGGATAAATGTAAGTAGTTTAGTATTCTATCCATGTAGCCTATTGCCGTGATGTAGATCCTATCATTTATTGTTTTTTTTATTAGTGAGCGCGTCTTGTTTTTATTATTTTTTCATAAATAATTGTTAATAAAAACAGTTTAAAATCAATTTAACTTTATGAGTACTAATCCCGTGGTTGAACAAAAAAGGTGATAGAGGGTTAAGAGTAGCCACTGCAGTTTTACCACTAAATCTATTAACCATGTCGATTATAGGGGCACACGTATAATAATAGAGAAGAGGACAAAAGGTGAGACCTGCAAAAGGAACGCTTGTCGTATGTCTGGGGCTCACGAAACAAAAGAGGCTCGCTCAATTTAACACTGTCTTTGCATCATGGGCTGATTCTGTGAGAACAGCACCATCTACAGGCCTGGCATATGTACTACAGCGTCTCCAGCGCTTTCCAACGGCAATGTCCGTGGCTGTCTCCTCCTGATTGGTGGAGTTGGCCCAATAGCCGTAGCGCCACTTCTGTGACGTCATAGAAGTGTTCAAATCTGGATCAGTCTGTATCAGATCCGTTGCAGCCCCTTTTTAAGAGATTTGGGTATGGAGGAAAATTGAGAGGGTTGTGTTTTCTGCCACTTGGTGAGTTCCCTGGAACACCGGGGACACATATTCATGTATACAAGACGTACAAGAGTGCATTTTGCATGATAGGTCCCCTTTAAATGTCTCCTCATAGGAGGTCACTACACTACTAATAATAATAATACATGACGCTTATATAGCGCTTTTCAAAAAACTCAGACGCTTTGACAGAGAATAAAACAGAAAACGAAGAAACAAAGAGACAAACAAACAGAAAAGGGAGGGGGGGATGGTCAGAGGTTGAATGCAGTGTTGAACAGGTGGGTTTTGAGTGATTTTTCTTTTTTTTAATGCATTGATGGTCACTACAGGTGAATAGGGTTAAACAAGTTTTCTGAAGTGTTATGTTTAGATATGCAAATGAGGCATTATTAAATGATTACTTTGGGTGAATTTAGGAGAAGAAGTTAGCTAATTGTGCATGTTTTTATACTTATTCAGATATACTATCCACCGGTCTTTAAAAACAAGACATGTCATTGAACGGAAAACAGCCCAAACTCTTGAAATGAACCACACATCATTTGTCCTCTCCTCCTCACAGGGGGTTCGTCGTACGGGAAGCGACCCGGCGAGATGAACCCGTTCCTGGCTCCGCGCTCCGCTGCCGTCCCCCTGCTGGCCGGCTCCAGCTCCGGGGGTCCTGGGGGTCACCTGCTAATGAAGCCCATCTCCGCCGCGCTGCCCACCTTCACCCCGGTGCCGGTGTCCGCAGAGAGCGGGGGGGCGGTGCTCAAAGACCTGTTAAAGCAGTGATACACACTTTAAACCATAACAAATACACTACACAGACTGAGTTACACTCACTGCTGCTCTTCTTTTACATATCCCGCAGAAATAAAGCTCATAGGATTAATAATCTCTTTTTTCTTTTAAAGAGGGGATTGAAACTAAATGTATTTTTTTTTTTAACCAATTACCGCTCTATGCAATCTGTCTCAGCTTTATTGAAGTTAAAAATAAGCAATGAAAGGACGCGAGATGAGTGTTTGTGGATCATTCATACTTCAGAAAACAACATATTTGATTTTTATAGAAACTGTCCTCTTCATTATGAGTTACGTTTAGATTTGTCTCCACTTCAGTGACCTTTAAAACTCACTGTGTTTAGCTCAATCCATCGAGACCAGAGGAAACATCTCACGTCCTGCGAGTCGTTTTTTATTCCTCTTTTCAGCAGCAAACTGCATCTGATCCAGGACTTTCCTAAAGCTCTGGCAGCAAAAGCCTGTGTGGAGATGTACGTGCTTCAGTGCATCTGTTAAACCCATGAAGACATTTCTTGCGAAGTCTTGTCTGTCGCAGACGGCCGGACTGTGATATGCAAAGCGTTGTAATTACGTCTGCGGCCTGTGGTTGATCAGCTCATATGTTATTATAGTTATATGTAAAGGGGAGTGGCGTTTCTTTTCTTATTTATAGGCACTATAAAGGAAGTTTTGGGAGTTTTAAGTGCCTGCATTTTTGCTAATTGGTTGTATAATCAGGATTGTATATGGTTAATATAAATATATATATTTACAAAATGTAAAAAAATGCACATTAAAAAAAGTTTTACCTGACCAGAGCTGGCCAGCGCTGCTCTGCATTTTTGTAAAGACATTAATCAGAAGGAGAGCTTCTCCAGGTGTGCTGATGAAATGTAAAAACTGTAAATCCTTGCTTTAAAATAACTTTTGTAGACGTAAAAAAAAACATGGAAAAGGAGGTGTTGGATTACCTTGAACTTGGATTACCTTTAACAGGAGTTAGTACACTTGATTTAATCTGAGTTTCAAATCAAATAAAAGGAACTGCTGGGCAAATTTACTGCTGTGCGTGTTGTCTTTTTTTGTGCATTCAAACCAACCAGATGTGGCTACTACAGCATGCAGAGCCAGATGTGCAGTGTTGGGTTTGTATCTTTGGAAAACAGAACCCCCCCCCCCCCCCCCCAGCAGCAGGGGGGGGGGGCGGGGGGCACTCCATGATTGAATCCAGCTGTTGTGTGTGTGTGCGCTTGGAGGGGGCCGGTCAATTTGCATTTTGCTAAATAATGTGCAGCAGAGAGCGGATCGCAGTCCATTTTGAAGAAGGCATTCCTGCAGATCTTCAGTCCATGCACCGGAGCTGCTGCCGTTCATGAGACCCCGGTGTCGGTTTTCGCGCATAGTTGGGGGGGTGGTGAGAGCATAAAGGGGATTTGGGGAGAATTTACGGGTCGTCAAACTCTTATCCCCTTTGAGGAAGGATGCTTTATGAAAGACGTGGCTTCAGGTTTCGCTCCTCTGCAAGGTCAGTACGCTTCTCTTTGCGTAACAGAGTTTGCTTTGTGTTTAAACCGAGTTACTGCCTTCTCTGAGAAGAGTTAAAAATACTTTCCCTCTTTGCAGGATGTTGGCAGCTCTGGTATTTATTCTGCTTTGTATCCAGCCTGGACACGGACAGGTAATGAACACCTTTCCTTTAGTGTGTTCCCATCTCATTCAGTTTAGACTACAGTCATGCTTATTGTCTGCAGATCTCCTTTTAATGTGGTTTTATTGACACAAGGAAACGGATTAAACTGTCACAGTATATAAAGATGAAAATGCATGCAATGTAACAGATACATTTGATGAATATTTATCTGGTCTTCTCTCCTCAGACCTGCACAGAAGGGTTTGCCTATGATCGCAGGTCGAGACAGTGCATAGGTGAGTACATTTAGCTACTTAATATGCAGAATAATATATATTATTAATAGTAATTGTACACACATTAATAGCAATATTAACATTGATGCATTCATGTGTTGTTCACTTTAATGTTGCAGCTGGTAGAGGTGGGACTTTTTACTAGCAGTTGTGTAAATCACCGATGTATCAATAAAGTTGTTTTAAAACTCTTTACATAAGATCAAACCCCATTAAGTAATGCATAATAAATCATTTATGCAAGTGTATGTTGTTGAGACAATATTTACCTCTGAATTGAAGTTGAGTAGAAGTATGAAGTCGCAGATATTAGTAAAATACCTCATAATCTTTCTTAAGTGCAGTGCTTGATCATTAAGAGCTTTATCTGCAGTAAAACCCCACTGTAGTGAAGCAGAAAGCCCCCCCATCAGCTACAGATAGCAGTGAGTGAGGTGATGTGTGCAGGAATGGCTTCATCAGAGCTCTCTGTGTTCCAGATGTGGACGAGTGTCGCACCATGCCAGATGTTTGCCGCGGAGACATGCGCTGTGTGAACCAGAACGGAGGGTACCTGTGTCTCCCCAGGAATCTGTACAACCAGCCCTTCAGACCCGAGACCCCCGCCCTGCCAGAGCCCCTCTACCCTGAAACATCTCTGGGGTTTCCTGAGCCCTTCGTCCCCGACCAGGCCGGGTCTGTGGAGGCCAGCTACCCCAGAGTCAGGTCCACCGCGCAGTGCATTCTGGGATACGCTGCTGCAGAGCACGGCTCCTGTCATGGTGAGAAACTTAACTCTTCTTCTGAAAACTACGTTACATTTACCTGACTTCTTTCTGTGGATTGATATGACTGCACATAGTCCCTTGGTCTGTTCTCCTCAGTAATGGTATTTTCTCTCCTTAAAAGGGAGCTTTTGTCGTTAGCAACATTTTTTTCTCCATAGCAACGGTCTGTTCTCCTTAGCAGCAGCCTGTTCTTTTTAGCAGTCTGTTCTCCTTACTAACGGTCTGTTTTCCTTAGCAACGGTCTATTCTCCTGTCAACGGTCTGTTCTCCTTAGCAACAGTATTTTCTCCATAGCAACGGTCTGTTCTCCTTAGCAACGGTCTGTTCTCCTTAGCAACTGTCTGTTCTCCTTAGCAACGGTCTATTCTCCTATCAACAGTCTGTTCTCCTTAGCAACGGTCTGTTCTCCTTAGCAACGGTCTGTTCTCCTCAGCAGTCCGTTCTCCTTAGCAACGGTCTATTCTCCTATCAACAGTCTGTTCTCCTTAGCAACGGTCTGTTCTCCTTAGCAGCAGGCTGTTGTCCTTAACAATGGTCTGTTAGTGAAAATTAACAACCTGTGAAATGTCCAAGTTGACCAATCAGAATGGAGTATTCAACAAAGCTGTGTAATAATATACAACATGACACAGAGATGTCGACTGACTCAGAAAACAGATGACTTCAGACCTGAATTTGGCTTAGAAGTTAATGCTGAGGTCTCTACATGATTTGCCACATTTGGACTTAAATGAGAAGTAGACCTAATGACTGGAATCACATTCTGATATCACATCGCAATGGGCTTCAAACTGTTAAATGAAACCAGCTGAGAAGTTTGCAGGGGAAATTCATCCCTGCTAACAACTGGCATGTGTCAAAGGACTGATTTTCTTGGGGGGGGTGCGACTGTAGCCTCGCAGTGACGAAACCGTGCCGCGCCACACTAATTGCAGCGCATAGGTGCGCCACATTTTCGGCTCAGGTGAGGCCCCCTCCTCAAGGTGAGGCCCCCTCCTCAAGGTGAGGCCCCACACAGTCTGCATGATCGGCCTGTAGGGAGGGACGGCCCTGGATGCACAAATGCATGGTGTCTTTTTCTGCAGCTGTGGATGTTTTCAGAAAGACATCTGCCACTTCCTGTTGTTAATCAGATCCTAAAGTTAAACTACATGCACGTTGATGACAAAGGGAAACATGATGGAGTCCAGAGATTTGTGTGTAAGTCATTAGATTATAGTTGAACTTTGTTTGGAATGCATGCATCCATCACATCTCACAGACAGATGTTTGATGCTCGCTGCAGCGCCACATCTGGGGGGCCTTCAGCGCCTCAAACTGACGAAACTTCTGATTATTTCTGTTGAATTTCACAACATATTTCAGCTGTCAGACACACAATAAGTATCTTCATTTCTCCCCCAGCTCGCGGAAAAACATCACAGTGTCCAGCCGGGACAAGCTGTTGCCACCTTAAAGTCTTTTTGGGGTGTTTGGGAGAAACCAGCCGTGACTGAGTGGAAACATGTACACATATAGCTCGGTTTTCATTTCCTTGGAGTCAAGCTCATGCACAAACATGGAGTGTTTCTCTGCTCGCAGCCTTGTTTGGGTAAACTACACTGTCAACGTGTCAAACATGAAGTCATGTGTTGCCAAATCTATGCCTGGAGAACAGGCCAGCCTCTATGTGTGTGTGTGAGAGTGTGTGAGAGTGTTTGAGAGTGTGTGTGGTGATGTAATGGCTTGTTGATTGATGCTGCTGTGGGGCAGAAATTAGACAGACTTTGACTTCCCGTCTGAACTTGCAACAACCACAGCTTTGTGTTCCAGTTAATGGCACCACGCTCCATCAGTGTCAGTAATGCAGCAGTGTTCTGATAATGCTAAAAACAAAAATTGAATTATGGTGTGTGTTAGTCTGAGCTGATTCCTGGATCTTTGAACCAGGTCTCTGTAGTTGTGTTGTATTTCTTTTTGATTTATAACGTCTTCTTGTGTCTTATTTTGGTGAATCTTTGACATAAAGACATATTTGGGACTCGTTTTGGATGTATAATGTCCTATTTGGATAATTGTGTGTCTCTGTGATCATTTTGCATACAGTATGTGTGTCCCTAACCAGTAGGACCCCTGTGCCCAGTAGCAGTCCATCCATTCCTACTGATACTAACTCTGCTTTTCAGGGTTTCATACATTACTAAAAAGCGTGTCCAGTGAGCTGCAGGCATGGAGAAAGTCCACACAATCTGAGTCAAAAGTCTCCGACAGCCTCTCACCACCCTTTGTTAACATTTCAATACAGCATCACCTTCCAGTTTTTTGTGCTGCTGATTAACGATTTCTCTGATTACACTCTGAATTCCTCACACAATTCATCATAACAGCCATCATAATATTTCCTTATGAGGATACGACCCACCCTGTTGATGGTTCTCAGACCATGAAGTCACCGATCTCTGAAGAAAAAAGCGTCAGGGTGGGGGGGGAAGTAGGTGGGGGCCCCACTTTGTGTTTGGACAGGCAGCTGATAACATCTGTTGGGGGGGGCTGACCCTTGTGCCAACTTGGACCGCCGGCCCTTTTAAGGAGAGGGTGGGAGGGTTTGGATGAAAGTCTAGTTGCTTGCACTGTTAAACCCAGAAATGTTGAGTACCCCAACGTTTTATGTTAGAAATGTATAGTACGGGTCCCCAGCACATAGAAACTACCGGATCATAACTTTGCTAAACAATTATCATAAGCTACGTTCCAAAAAAGTGGCCATATTTGTAGTCTCAATGGTCAGGTTTTGACTACCATGAGCCTTGTTGCGACCATTGGATATAGAGAGCACAAGATGACAATTATCACCTCTACTGTTGACAATGTTTTTTCAAATACATAAGCAATCTGTCCGTTCCTAATGATCCAGAGTCCCCTAGAACTTCAAGAAGGACCAGAAATGAATGAAAATCAGCCCCTTAGGACTACAAATATGGCCTGTTTCTGGTTAAATTAATTCACCATCCTCAAGAACCTGCAAATGTGCAAATTGTCCAACATGTGCAAGTTAGCATCCGGCAGTTTCTATGCTTTACATTTCTAAACATAAAACTTTGTGGTACTCAACATTTCAGGGTTCACAGTAGGACTCTATGAGCTGGAAACAGACTATAAGTCGGACCCCGGCCAACAGCTACAGGGGCCCCGGCCTGCACGCACACACACACACACACACACACACACACACACACACACACACCCCTCAGTTCAGTCCTTATATAGAGTGTTTCATGAGCTGCCCACCAGCTTCGGGCTGACAGAGCCGATAAGCTTCAGAGGAGACGGATAAGATTTGTTTGAAGTGTTTTTAAAAAAAAAAAAGGTTATTTATACAGACAATTCCATTCCAGGTATAAGAAAAATGTGAGTGACCACTGAAGTTGCAAACTCTATAAATAAGATAGTGTAATGATAAAACAACAGTGTAAAAATAGACGTATGCATTTCCACTAGGTTTGCATCTTGGTCATATGTTCCACAGTTTATAACAACACCTCTCCCTCTCTGTTCCTCCTCTCTGTTCCAGACATTGACGAGTGTGAGACGAACACTCACCACTGCAACCCCACCCAGGTGTGCATCAACACAGAGGGGGGGTACACCTGCTCCTGCATTGAGGGATACTGGCTCATTGGGGGGCAGTGCCAGGGTGAGTAACAGCAGCATAACACTACTTATTTATATTGCATTTACTCCAGTCTTCAAAAAGTGTTTAAAGAGTCCTCTCTTGCTGATGTTCAGGTGTATATCAGTATGTAGTGTCTCTACTTTAAAGAGTCCTCTCCTGCTGATGTTCAGGTGTATATCAGTATGTAGTGTCTCTACTTTAAAGAGTCCTCTCCTGCTGATGTTCAGGTGTATATCAGTATGTAGTGTCTCTACTTTAAAGAGTCCTCTCCTGCTGATGTTCAGGTGTATATCAGTATGTAGTGTCTCTACTTTAAAGAGTCCTCTCCTGCTGATGTTCAGGTGTATATCAGTATGTAGTGTCTCTACTTTAAAGAGTCCTCTCCTGCTGATGTTCAGGTGTATATCAGTATGTAGTGTCTCTACTTTAAAGAGTCCTCCCCTGCTGATGTCCAGG